GATGCTCATGAAGGTGGAATAACGCGGGACTGACAACCAGGTACAAGGCATGCCCCACGGTCCCTATTAAGCACCTTCATGCCTATCCTGGAGGACATGTGCCAAATTATTGACCAGTTTCAGCACCAAAATGGTCCCAGCACAGCTTTTCCACCACCACCTCTCCCCACACATGTCAAAGCCCCCCTAAGGAGCCCACCAAGCCCCATAGAGCCACACATTTGGACAACAGGAGGAGGACGCAGGGCTGAATCCCCTCCCACTGCCCCCGGCAACTGAACAGAAACAGCAAAACATGGAATATTATTGCAGGCGATCACGACTGTGTCCCAGCCAGAGCCCAGCCCTCATGGAGCAAACTACATGGAGGAGGAGGAGAGACAGGACTTGAGCAAGGGGAAGGAAAGGTTTAGAAAGATGGGATTTGCCGAACTAAGCTTGCAAACAGAGTCCAAGCTGATACCTTTTGCTCCAGTATCCGCAGACCGTAGGAAATGTGTAGGCAATGTCAGGCTAGGAGAACGCAGCAGAGGTGGATCCCAGTCTGTCTGCAACCTGAGGTGTGAGACCCAGCAGCCCTCGCCGGCAGGTGCGCGTCCCCACTCCTGCTCGCTGTTACGTGGGTCTCTTCACATCCCGTTGTGGCCTCTCGGCAGCACAGTGACAGCCCTTGAGCAAGGAGAGTGCTGAAATACCGGTTTCCAGTTCAGTCTCATGATGGCAGCTCTTAGAGCTGACTCACCCAGGAGACCAGACGAGTGAGTAACACCCAGTATGGCTGCAAACAAAACTCGTGCCTAAAATGAAGATCTCTGCCCTGCATGTCCTGGCATTTCATATCAATCCACAAAAAACCCACATTTGTCACTTGGGCTTACTCATACAGCATTAAACCTGAAACCACCTCTGATCACAGCCTGTCTTAGCAAAACCCATCTTCTAATACCCACCTGGCAAAGTTTATGGCCAGAGGTATCTGCAGTGCAACTGCGTTGGCCAACATGAGCTGCTCACCAGTGAGGGCTGGCCCTGCTGCCAGATGCTCTGGGAACAGCTGGGTCCAAACTTTGCCCCACGCCTCCTGCACCTCCAGCAGCGCTTGCAAAGGGAGCCGGCTCTGCAAGCCGTAGCTCATAAATCACAGTGTCCATCACGCAGCAGAGATGCAATTTGACCGTCTGCTGCTCAGAGAGCAGTAAGGAGTCCTTGCGGTCCCCAAAGGCAGACAGACAGACACAGGGCAGGTGCTGGCCAGGCTGCTTTAACCACAGTTCCTACGGTCACTCAGCGCATCCCTCAGCTATAACAGAATTAATGCTAAATGATGATTTGTTTTAATTTTTGTTTTGGTAACAGGTCATATAAAGTGGGAGTGTTCCAAGTGAAATTTGGGCAGAATGGTGAGGAAAAGGAGGGCTCAGTCTCCTCCTTCAGCTGAAGGCAATCCTGGGCAAGTGCATACACCCCATCCTTCTGGGGTAAAGACCTTCCTCAGCCCCCAGAGATATCAGCAATATTTCAGGGCCAATAGTAGGAAACCTGTAAATAGCACCTGTAGTTCCTGCAGTAACAGTTTTTTTGCATAAGATCTCAAAGCACTTTAGAAATACCCAGTTACACCACACTCCCGTGAAGGAGGGACACAGCAGCGTATTCAGAGCGGGGAAGCAGGCACAAGGTGCACTGAGCGGCTTCACAACTGAAGAGCCTGAGTCACAGCAAGGAGACAAATGTCCACAGCAGAGAAAATCTATCTATGCCAAAAGATTAACTGGATCCAACGGTAACTGCTTCCTATGCCCCCTCTTTTCTCTTTAATACCATAATACCATACAAAGACCGGAATTTAATGGTACCGATCTAGCGTTCACATGATAACTCTCCTGCTGCATGGCTGATTAATCATTCAAGAGACCAGATATGGAGATGTATTAATGCACAACATTTCCTCCTGCCCTACTTCGACCCCACTTCCCTGCTTTAATATTTAAAATCTTCTCTGTGGGCAGCAGGACAGGCTGACCCCTCCACCCTCTCTAAGCCCTATCTGGCCAAAATCTGCATCTTCCTGAATCATGCTGCTCCACTCAACCCAATACGTGCTTGAGCCTTGCTGACTGTGTGATTTGCCCAGCCTTTTAGCCCCACAGCTTCAGCATTCCCAAAACGTGCTTCACTTCTCACCAGCATGCTCCAAACACACAAAGAGACCATGATCAATCTTTTTATTTTGGCTTGCTCATTCTCACCTCCCCACAGACCATTCCAAGCTCTAGCCTGGAGGAAGAGACATTCACCAACAAACCACTGTAAAACTTACAGCTCAAAAGCCGCTGATTTAAGCTCACTAATACCCATGTTGAGAAGAGGAATATTTCATTTATTCCAGCCTGACTCATCCTCTCAACATATTTTCCTTTTTCCAGGCAGGAAATCTCATGGTGTCTCTGCAGATCTTGCCACTTGTCCACATTAGTGGAAGAGACACTCAGCTTGAACCATGGAGCCAAGCTCTCATCAGAAGAGATTATCTAAATGTTTCTTCTCTCAAACACACTTAGTTGCGGAAAGATTTTTTTAAAAACCTTATGGGTTTGTGCTGATTGTTGGCATGAGACAGGCACAGTGAGTGGTGCTGGGCAGTAGACCTGGAAATTTCATGCAATCTGTTTTCTAGGATTATCTGTCTGGGAATAGAGGGTAAGTGGGAGGGAGCCATTTTAAAACAGCACAGAGTGGTTTCTGCAGCATCTTACAGTTGGACTGATATCATTCAGGAAACTTTGATCTGAAGTAATTTAATTCACAAAATGGGATTTATTAGATTCCTACTGGGCTATATAATTTTCTCAATGTTTTCCTTCTCCACCCACCCCTTGCTACAGAAAACAAACCCAAGTGGACCAGCCAGCCTGAAAATGCAGTAAAACAGCCATGTGGGAAGACACAAGAGTGAAGAATGATGTTGAAGGAAAGCAGAACCTAGGAGACATCCACCCCAGTTGATCAGGGAGCTTCAAGAGTTTTAAGGCAGCTTGTCACAGCTAAGAGGAATGAAGCCAAGCAAGGTTTGGATGTCACCTGTAGAGCAGCTTCAGAATAACTTGTTTGACATGTCAGTGGAAACAGTAAGGACTCACGCAGTCCAAGGAACCACAGGACCAGATCCCACGTGGAATGCTTCCTGCCCTGCCAAACTATACCCACACACCTGATTCTGCTCACACATATGGAGTAACAGCTCTTGCAACACTGCTGGAGCACACCCAGGAGGAGCTCTTCATGCTGCCAGAGTAACAACTCCCCATTTTTTCAGGGAGAAGAGCTACCAGGTGGATCATACCACCCTGAAGAGTTTCACCACCACCTCAGCACACTTTAAAAAATAATTTAAAAAAACAGAAAAAGTTATGGATTGCTTCTAATGAGAGACAGATTTCAGAGGCAACAACTATGCTGCATCCCTTGCCGACTACCAGCAGGTTACAGCTTTTACAGGGACAACTATTCTGGAAAACCACATGGATAACACATCTGGGTAATGTCGCCAATGACCAGCTGAGAACAAAATCCAAGTGATTTTGATGTGTTTAATTCTCCCTCTCCCCATCCAAAGCTACTAAGTCACCATCAAGTTTATCTACTTACACACAAATGCACAAACATCATTAAGTTTTTGAGCTGATTTTTCTTTACTTCACAGTCTTGGCAAACAAACCTGCATTCAAAAGTCATTTCACATTAATATATTAATCAAACATTTTCAAAATAAATATATATATTTTTAAATAACCATTTCTTTACATCACTGCAGTAGCAATTCTAGAAAAGTCAGTGCACAGAGAGTAGCAATTTGATTAATCAGCTAGACTCAAACAAAAAGAAAACAAGAGGTGGACCCTTTTTCTCTCAAGCAGGCTGCATGCAGCAAGTCTCAGCAGTTCCGTAGCACACGATCTTTCTTCACACTTGCTGGGAAGGACTTTCTCTCTCACAGATGCAGTCAGAAGTCAGTGAAGTCTGGTTAGTGCAAAGCTTTATACCACGCAAAGTTTTACAACTGGCTTACGGAGGCTCTGCGTTCTGGAGTCGTTGCTCATGAGATCAATGATGCAATGCTATGGACGGAAAATGCTCGGTCCAAGAAGCCCACGTTCAAGTTACTGGGAAGTAAATTCACAGCTGATCCAGGAACACATACACCATTAAACAACATTCAAATGAGCAGCTCAGTTGTATCTAACAGCTTAATCCAACATTTTGCATATTCTCTCAAGTGCTTCCAGGGCAGAAGTAAAGCAACTATTTTCTGCCCATTAGGTATTAATTCACCAGTTAAATCACAGCAGCAACATGCTTCACTGGCCAAAAAGTGTAACTTGTGTTACAGCAGAGAAAAAGAAAAAAGTGCATTATAGACTACAAAGAGAATATTCAGGACTTAGTGATCTCAAGCCCACATATCTAACTGGAAAAAAAGAGACAACAGAAAATTAGTGTTCCCATATGATCTGTAACTAGTTAGGTGTTACTAATCAACCCTGTGAATAGTATGTTTCCTTAAGGAGGGAAGCTCATCAGCATCATCATACACAGTGCACAGCAGGAACATTTGGAGGGCTACCAGATTATTTGCTACGATTGTCAGGAATGACTTAGCTAAAAATACCTAAGAAAGTTTAATAGATATCTGAAAAATGTGAGATATCTATTTCCTTTGAGATCCTGAAGGTTCCCTTTGAAGCCCTTTCTCAGTAGCAGAGGGAGAAGTTGGATGTAAAAAGAATGAGAGGAATGAGATTTGAGAAAAATACTCAGAGATACTCCTGCATCCAGAGATGCTCTTGGCTACACGCTAAGGTAAATTCAAGACACCCCCAACCCCCCCAAGAGCCTTGTTTCTATGTTATGAGCATATTAATTACCAGTTTGGAGCAGTTGCTTACTCTAAAGAGGTGTAATTTAAGTATCAGAAGAAACAGATGTAAGTGAAACAATCACAGATGAAGAGAAACTCCAGTTCTATCAATGGTGCACACAGGGAAAGGGAATACTGTGGTAGGACTGGAAACCCTCAGAGCTCTACAAGGTAACCCAGGCTGCTGAAATCGCTCCCCTTGCTCTGTGCATATCTACCACTAGAGTCCAGGAAAGTTATGTGCCTCAAGGGAAGGCTCTATTCCTCAGTGCTATGGACCATGCTCCAAGATTCTGCCAAAATGGGAAGTAAGAAAGCAATGAGTTGTGGAGAAGTTCTCTTGTTAGCTTATTGGTTTTTCTTGTCCTCTGGTGGGAAGTACGGAGGAGGAGGTGGCTGGTCCTGAAGTAAAGACAATAAAAGAACATCAACTCCCAGCCAAAAAAAAAGCCCAAAACAAGAAAAAAAAATCAAAATCAACTCAAACTTTGCTGTGTCACTGAGAAAAAGAACTGCTAAATACACACTTGGGCTCATACTGCAAACCCAGAATGATACAGGAACGTACCGTGGGCATGTAGACGTTGTGTGGGTTGACTGGGCTGTAGTAAGCGCTGGCAGCGGCTTCAGCAGCCTTTGCTTCAGCTGTCACAGAAAGAGAAGTTACAGATCTGGTGACACGCAGAGAACATTTTCAGTCAAACAAAATCGCCACATTCTCAGCCATCGAGTGTTATTAATAGAGCGTTATTTGACCAATGCTCAAGTTGCAAAATTGCTACAACAAACCAAGATTTACTTCAGAAATGCCACCTGGGACTTGCCCCTTAGTCAACAAATAACTGCTGCCAGCTGTTTTGCCCAAATGCAGATAATATCCCTTAAAAAGGCAGTCAACAAACCATCTTTCCTGGGAGTGAAAACATAAGACAAAACAAAAAATCACCACAAGCTTATAGCAGCACAGAGGACTCATACTTTAAAGATGGTAATTTATGAAGATAATCCAGATCCTCTGTTTCTCCAGAATACGAAAATCTTGTACAACCCATCTGGATCAGTGCCACTTTCCAGACAAAAGTTCAAAGATGAACTGGCTGTTTATTCAAACCAAAGAGAGAACTTAAATCCTCATCCAGATAAACAGCCTTACCTGCAAGAGATCTATGGTTGTGTCCAACCACAAAAGCTCATTTTTGTTGGTTTTTTCCCCCACAAGCAGACCTTTTAAGACCATGTTCAAAATCATTTTGATAAATCCCAGATGAGTGAAAATGACTGACATTTCCCCAGTTCCTTCCTATCATCTATTCCTCTGTCCCACATTGCTTAAGCAAAAGTGATCACGTTAGAGGGAAAACAGGGAAGGTGGGGCAAATATCACCAAAGCCACATTAGCTAACTGAGATGGACTAGAAACACATTTCACCATCTATTTCTTTTTTATTCATCTATTAGAGCAAGATTACCACAACAGATGAATCACAAACTGTATTTTTTTCTGTCACAACACGAATAAATTCAGCTGCAAAATATCTGCTAATGGTATCCACCCTGGAGAGAATCAGGCTGGCCTCCACACTGAGCTGGATATGCAAGGCTGGAGATTAGGGGAGCTCACTAACCCCTCTCCTAAACAATTTTAACTTCTAAGTGGAGCTTCTAAATCGACTCCAAGTTCCTCAAAAGATTACAAACAAGAAATAATGTTTGTTTCATGGGTAACAAGGCCACTGTGAGTTAATTCACCTGAACGTGCTTCTTACCTGCAGGAGTGGAGGGCAGGTCTGGCCCGCTGACAGGGGGTTCCATGGGCCCTGGGTACGGCGGGGGTGGGAGCTGCATGTAACCCATGTCTCCAGCTGCCATCGGGGGGCCAGGATAAAACTCTGTCAGGAAAGGAAACGGCACAGCAGAAGACTTAACTCCTTTGGGTGGGTCACAGCACGCAGCCAAAACAAGCCAAAGGCAAATGTAATTAAGCTCAGAAACAAAAGCTGCAGAAAGCATCACATGTTACGCAAAAGACAATGTAAAACTTGGGTTTCTTCCTTTTTTTGCCTATTTTGCTTCTTGCTAACTAGAGTAATCCCCATCCTCAGTTCCCAGACTTACCAGGAGGAGGTGGTGGGTATGGATAGCCACCATTAGCTGCAGGTGGTGCATAAGCATAGGATCCATTTGGCATATAGGAATAGCCGTAAGCTCCGTTGGGGATTTCACCTCTGGAGACTGGAAAAGTAAAGGTAAGTTACCTCATCAAAAATCAAACCTGCATCAAATGCAGGCCAAGAACTCCAACAAACTTAAAGGGCCGTTATCTGAGAAACAAGCAAGCTCCATTCCAATAAATCTGCTATTCACTGGATGTGAAAAAATATTTTTTACAGCAAGTAAGTTCCAGATACAGCCTGGAACTTGCATGGACTTAAATCCAACCTGTAGCAACCTAAAACTGCCCTCGCTGCAAGATGAAGGCAAGGCCTCCTGAAACCACTAACGGTCTACCAGACACTGCCAGACTCCCATACCTTGTGATGCCACCTGCAGCATACGCTGCCCAAACTCGATAGCACCCCCAGCTACAAAGGTCATCTTGAACGTGGCCGATCCTTCCCAGCCACCTGCAGGGAGGAAAGACAGAATTCAGAAGCAAGGAGGTGTCATTTTGATGCTAATTAGCTTCCATGTTTTATCTACAGATGCCCTGTATATAATTATTGAAAGAGCTTATCCCAAAAATTCAACAAAAAATGCAGATAAAGTGGCAGAATTAACCTACTATCACACACACACAAAAAAAAAATCACACTGGGATATTTCCAGGTCAAGAGACACCTGAAGAAGAAACATCAGTGAGGGAGACTTTCAAAAGCCTTTTAATGTTGTACCTGCTACCACACCAGCTGCCAACAGACCAAGCTATCAGAAGCACTGGATTTGCTCTAGCTTTGTTTATGATTAGTGCAGAAGACAGGGATTTTGTTAATCCCATTTGCTAAAAAGCCTCTGCAACTACACCTAACTGTCAGCTATAAATTAGTTCGGGAGTTTGAATACCCAATGAAGCAAAGAGCTTAATGAAAAACAGGGTCCACATAAATCCATTAGAGTCCATGGAAGATATTTCAAGCCAGGATAATAATAAAAAAAAATAATGAGTGACATCTCGTATTACAGACTAAAAAAGAAAAACACGTACAGCACAGAGTCCCAACAATGCATCAAAGCAGAAGCTGTCTCAGTGCTGAAACAGAGACATGTAGATTAGCCTAAATCAGACTCTTGTGGCTGCTCCAGCAACATCCTCATTAAAAGAGAGAGCCGGTGGGGAAATTTCACAAAGATTTAGCTAAAGTCATTTCCTTTTCACACAGTTTACAGAGTTGGTCATTACTGCTCAGGCTTCCTCTCACACTGGATGATCCCACTTTGCTCCCATACAGAAGTAACAATGCTGAATTCAAGATTACAAACTGAAGTCTCCTAAGCACTGCACTGTGATTTCAGTGCCACAACTAATAGAATAAATCAAGCTGGGGATGAAAGCGTTTACTGAACTATCTGCTTTTGCTAAAAAGAAGCATAATACAGTGATTTAAAAAAATATATTCTTGAAAATATTTACCACAATCTTCTCATTGAACAAAATATGAAACCATCCCTTGAAGATGCCCTAATTTCAAGACAGGCTGCTCTCTTCCAAGTGTGTAGCTGAACGAAGATGCAGAACATGTATCTGTACTATACATACCTCCTGCCTCTGCTTTCACTGTACCCTTGATATAATTTGCTCCAAAGACAGGCTGCTTAATCTCACAATCTTTCAACAAATAAAAGGGCATCACAAAAGACTGCATGGCATCCTTTCCCTTCGATACAAAGATAACCTGAAAAGAAATAACATTATATTGTATTTAAAACAAATGGGAAACACAGACCCCATTTATTATCTGAAGTGACTTTTCAATGGACTGAAACTCCCGCATCTGAAGCTCCTTGTCAGTTCTGCAAGCCAAAAGCTACACAGAAGTCACAAGGGTAAACTGAACCCTTAGGGCAATAAAGCCTTCCAGGAAGACTACCCCTGCTCAGACAGTACTCCTCCCAGCTTCCAGAGAGCTCACTCCTCCACACAGCTCTGATTTAGTAGCTGTGCCGTTGCATTCAGCATTTCCAGACCATTGCTAATTTCCAATCTTGAAGATGCCTGATGGACTAAACAGCTGCTTGTATAAGAACTAATCAGATTTATTATCTTTTGACAAATAGACAGGATACGCAATGAATTCGTAATGCTCCCCAGAGGGAGAGGCTGAGCCATACTTCAAGGGGTAGTAGATTATCCTGACTTTCATGCATTGAGGACATTTAAATACAGAATCGCAAAGAGCCCTTATCTCCTTACACAAGATAAAGCCTTCTACTACTTACTCGGTAGGGAGTCAGGAAAACACTCCCTTTCTTGGTCCCTTTGAAGGCATCTGGCATAGGTTCGATATCACTGAAGGTAATTTCTACGTGATCATAGGTCATCAAAACACTGCAAACAAGATGAGAGAAGAGACACGGTGTTACAGCATTACAACTCAAGGCAAAAGTGCAATATGCACAAGTTTACTGACCTACCAAAACTGCCTTTAACCTCAGGCCTGTGCTTGGCAGACAAAATCAGTCTGGCGTGCATTTTTTTTTTGTCAGCAGTAGCAACTTAAGCAGTACTGGCTGCTGGTTCTCACCCTTGTGCTTCCCCCTCAATGTGCTGGCACAGCTACCACTATCTGCATAGACAGGCAGTGCATCTAGACAGTTGAACTGATTAAGATCTCAAAACACACAGACAAACATATATATTTATATACAAATATGTATTTATTTTAAGTTGTGCTGCATTTCCGCTGTATCAATTGCCTAATTTGGCTCACCACAAGTAACACAACAGAGGAAGGACTGCTGAAGCAGGAACTGCTCAGGTTTGCTTATGCAACACAGCTGTTGAAGGTCTAACCACAGCTTAAGCATCTCTCTCACAAAAATGTGATCAAGAGGAATTCCTCTTTCTTGCCATCAGACATCACTAACCCTTGTTGCCTGCACTGACTCCTTAATTCTCAATTAGAAACTGACCTGATTAAAACCAGTGCAACGCCCTTGCACAGATGCAGTAGGTAACTTGTATTAACATAACAGCATCCACATTAGGGACTCTAATCCCTAAAGCTGGAGAAACCTCCACCACCTTTATCTCTGGCAGCTTATGTGTTACCATCCTCAGTCACTCGCCTTTCCCTTCTGCCAGGAAGTACCAGTCCCTCCAGCAAAAGCTCCAGAAGGGCACAGGGGCCAGCAGCTCTGTTCAGGCTAGAACATTATCAGCTGAATCACCCACCACAAGCAGCCTGGGTTGCAAGGCAAGAGGTGGCCCCTGATCCAAGGCAGGCTAACAACTGAGAACAGTAACACGTTAAGCTACCACACCTGTTTGTTTCAATGAATGCAAATTTAAGCCCCAGAGTTGATCTTACTATATTCCTCTAAGAAGGGTCACATCCCAAATGGAAGTCAGGCGCAGAATTCCTGTACCAATGTTTAACTGGCCTTGTGGAAAGAAGCCCTGAAGAATGAACTACTCCTTTGTCCCAGAAGCAGGTGACTGCCACGTCAGAACCAAAGCACGCTGACAGACACAGAGGGCGAGGACAGCCCATTGCCATGCAGACAGAGGCAGCTCTATGGAGACTTTCCGTTTCCATGGTTATATCCCAGCACCTTTTTCCAACACTGTTACTACTTCCCAAACACATGGAGGGGGGTTGTGCCCACAGAACCCAGCAAACCAAACCAGGCAGGAAAGCCTAGCATTTCCCAAGCAGGCAGCTCTTCAACAGAGGCACACTGGCTGGCGAGAGAAAGATGAGGCTTGGGTCCAGGCCAGAATCATCTGGCTAGGTGCTGAGCACTGCCAGCCCTCACCGAGCACTCGGGGGAGAGGGTGAGGACAGCAGCAAGAGCCAGGAGCAACCCCGCGGGGCAGGCAGGCCGCGGAGGGGAGCGGTGCAGGAAGAAGCCCGCAGCTGACACCCAGCAGAGCTCTCCCGGGTTGGCGCAGCGGGAAACGTACGGACCCTACTGTCGCAGGGAGTG